GGCATTCAAATACATCGCGAATACGGAAACATTTGATTTTGTGTCGAATGAGAGACGCAACGTTGGTTCAGTTTCATTTTAGCCTAAATGAATTCGTTTGGCTTGTCGTTTATATAGCTATAGCTTCTTATATTTTTAATTCTTGTTCTTTTCTAAATACGGTTAATTGAAATGATTTGTTGTGGAGTGAGGGGAACTAAAATAGCCTAGCTATGTTTACAGTGTTTAGTAATAGCCTAATAAAAAGCTACTTATACGCGACATGGTTTTTTCTCTCTAAAAAAATGCACATTTCATTTTATACGTGTAGCGTAGGCTATTTTAACCATGCAGCAAACCTTTTAAAATATTTTGATAAATTACTGAAAAAAATAAATACATGACTTTTTAAACCGTTTAACTGATTGTATTAATCGGTCCAAATTCTTACGGTCGGTTAACGGTTAACCGGTTAAAATGAGCATCCCTAGCTTCTTCCTGATTGCAGGATATGATCCATGATAAACACTGATGAAAATGTAGATCCACACAACATATAGTGGTTGAATGTTTATAACTGATAAAACAATGGCCAAAAAAAAGATAGAAAAAAAAAATTTAAAAGGAAACTAAGAAAATTAAATGTTCAAAACTTTCCAGGCACAACTGTGTAAAATTTCTCTACATAGAAATAAGAACTTAGCGGAATGGAACAGGACAGGAATGTTGTGCAACAGCTTGACAAACGATGCCGAAAGCTGAAGAAAAAAAGAGAAACAAAATAAAAAGCTGCAAAAGTGAATCATGCAAGGGTGACAGAAATGGAGGGGTGGACGAGATGCAGCACCACGGCACTGCAAACCTGCGACGGGGTCCTCGATAATAATGGTGATTTTCCTGTGATTCCCTCCTTTCCATACAGAGAAGAAAAAAAGAAAGAATAGAGTTGAAGCAGAGAAATTATCACCCTGATCCACAGCAAGACCAAAGAGCACAAGAGGTACAACAGCTAGAAGCAAGGTGTTTACATGTTTATTTGCATGTGTGTATGGGAAAGCCATATTTGTGAATTAAAATCTAGCTAGTAAAAGCTAAGCTAGTTAACATTATAGATAATTTAAGAAGTATTCACAACAATTTGACTTTCATAATATGATGTATTTTTAAGTGAAACACGTGACAGAAAAATAAAAAAGTAGAGCAGTACTTGATTTTATCAATCAGAAACTGAATGATTCATGAACAAAGGTGGTTTTATTTTTGTAAAATTGCTAAACATTTTTGTGCTTTTTTTACATTTTGATATAATGTTGCAGTTTTTAAAATATCAAGAAAGTAAATAGGATTGATTTTGATTTTATGTTATAATCAAACGGTAACACTTTATAATAACATTCATTAACCATTAACAAACAATATATTTGTTAACAGATCATTAGTTAATATATATTCAGAAATATGAAATATGAGATAATGTGCTTGTTAATGTTTACTAATGAACTTACTAAACATTACCTAATGATTGAGAGATCATTATTTTAAGTAAATTAAAATGCTTACAAATGTCATTAAACTTTCAGTTCATATGATCATGCTCTACTTGAAAATCTACAAATGATTTTAACAGAAATTATACAATGATTAAAAGCTTGTGTTAATGCACAACACTTTTGCTGCTATTGAGGTGTGATTTTGTTAAGGTCTGGGATGGGTAGGTTTAAAGGTTTTTTAAAGATACTGAGCTCAAGCTCTTTAAAGTCGGGTGGATTCTGATTGGATGTCAATGTTTTTGTCTTTCAATAAAAAATAAATATTGTTCTGAAACTGATTTCAACCATATAATTCCTCTGTGCTGTTATCGATATAGCTGTGGCGTGGATGTCGTTATTCTCACACAATTAGTATGATTATCTTGCGTTATCCTTATAGTTAATGTCCTCGGCGTGAACAGGCTTTTACACTAATAAATGTTTACATTTTTAACCGGAAATGTGAGATTGATTTAATAACACAGTTCAACAAATAAAAACGTACTATTGTGTTATGTGTTGTTAATGTTGTTTCGTTAGTAGTTTCGCTACTTTTCGTTAGTTTTGAACAAGGCTTGTGTTCTAGAGAACTGTTTGTACGCACCATTTTTCTGCTTCTGCATGACGCCGGTGTCGGACAGAGAGCGGATGTGGCCCCTCGAGCCCCGCCTTGTGGTTCTCTGAGCCTCTGAGAAGGAGCAGCGGCGCTGTGGGGGCGGAGTCGAAGGAGTGTGGGCGTCAAATGTACACAAATAAAGGCAAACCTTTTACAATTCCGATTATATTTAGGACTAAAAGGAGTAGTTTCTTCCACTGTTAAAAGGAAAAAATTGCGCCTGTGCCGGCGCCGCATGCGCGCACACAGTTAAGCATTGCTACCTTGACAATGCATCCTGTTCATTATCCTAATAAAATGCAGTCAGTCAAACATATGGAAAAAAACACACTGCTCAGTTTAAATATGTAAAATCTGTTACATATTTAAGTGTTATCACCGCCGTGATGTTATGCAAAACATCTTGTTTTACGTGGATATTGGAACGCGAGTGAAGTAGGCTACATAATAAATAATAATTTGGCATTCAAATACATCGCGAATACGGAAACATTTGATTTTGTGTCGAATGAGAGACGCAACGTTGGTTCAGTTTCATTTTAGCCTAAATGAATTCGTTTGGCTTGTCGTTTATATAGCTATAGCTTCTTATATTTTTAATTCTTGTTCTTTTCTAAATACGGTTAATTGAAATGATTTGTTGTGGAGTGAGGGGAACTAAAATAGCCTAGCTATGTTTACAGTGTTTAGTAATAGCCTAATAAAAAGCTACTTATACGCGACATGGTTTTTTCTCTCTAAAAAAACGCACATTTCATTTTATACGTGTAGCGTAGGCTATTTTAACCATGCAGCAAACCTTTTAAAATATTTTGATAAATTACTGAAAAAAATAAATACATGACTTTTTAAACCGTTTAACTGATTGTATTAATCGGTCCAAATTCTTACGGTCGGTTAACGGTTAACCGGTTAAAATGAGCATCCCTAGCTTCTTCCTGATTGCAGGATCTGATCCATGATAAACACTGATGAAAATGTAGATCCACACAACATATAGTGGTTGAATGTTTATAACTGATAAAACAATGGCCAAAAAAAAGAAGGAAAGATAGAAAAAAAAAATTTAAAAGGAAACTAAGAAAATTAAATGTTCAAAACTTTCCAGGCACAACTGTGTAAAATTTCTCTACATAGAAATAAGAACTTAGCGGAATGGAACAGGACAGGAATGTTGTGCAACAGCTTGACAAACGATGCCGAAAGCTGAAGAAAAAAAGAGAAACAAAATAAAAAGCTGCAAAAGTGAATCATGCAAGGGTGACAGAAATGGAGGGGTGGACGAGATGCAGCACCACGGCACTGCAAACCTGCGACGGGGTCCTCGATAATAATGGTGATTTTCCTGTGATTCCCTCCTTTCCATACAGAGAAGACAAAGAGAAAGAATAGAGCTGAAGCAGAGAAAATATCACCCTGATCCACAGCAAGACCAAAGAGCACAAGAGGTACAACAGCTAGAAGCAAGGTGTTTACATGTTTATTTGCATGTGTGTATGGGAAAGCCATATTTGTGAATTAAAATCTAGCTAGTAAAAGCTAAGCTAGTTAACATTATAGATAATTTAAGAAGTATTCACAACAATTTGACTTTCATAATATGATGTATTTTTAAGTGAAACACGTGACAGAAAAATAAAAAAGTAGAGCAGTACTTGATTTTATCAATCAGAAACTGAATGATTCATGAACAAAGGTGGTTTTATTTTTGTAAAATTGCTAAACATTTTTGTGCTTTTTTTACATTTTGATATAATGTTGCAGTTTTTAAAATATCAAGAAAGTAAATAGGATTGATTTTGATTTTATGTTATAATCAAACGGTAACACTTTATAATAACATTCATTAACCATTAACAAACAATATATTTGTTAACAGATCATTAGTTAATATATATTCAGAAATATGAAATATGAGATAATGTGCTTGTTAATGTTTACTAATGAACTTACTAAACATTACCTAATGATTGAGAGATCATTATTTTAAGTAAATTAAAATGCTTACAAATGTCATTAAACTTTCAGTTCATATGATCATGCTCTACTTGAAAATCTACAAATGATTTTAACAGAAATTATACAATGATTAAAAGCTTGTGTTAATGCACAACACTTTTGCTGCTATTGAGGTGTGATTTTGTTAAGGTCTGGGATGGGTAGGTTTAAAGGTTTTTTAAAGATACTGAGCTCAAGCTCTTTAAAGTCGGGTGGATTCTGATTGGATGTCAATGTTTTTGTCTTTCAATAAAAAATAAATATTGTTCTGAAACTGATTTCAACCATATAATTCCTCTGTGCTGTTATCGATATAGCTGTGGCGTGGATGTCGTTATTCTCACACAATTAGTATGATTATCTTGCGTTATCCTTATAGTTAATGTCCTCGGCGTGAACAGGCTTTTACACTAATAAATGTTTACATTTTTAACCGGAAATGTGAGATTGATTTAATAACACAGTTCAACAAATAAAAACGTACTATTGTGTTATGTGTTGTTAATGTTGTTTCGTTAGTAGTTTCGCTACTTTTCGTTAGTTTTGAACAAGGCTTGTGTTCTAGAGAACTGTTTGTACGCACCATTTTTCTGCTTCTGCATGACGCCGGTGTCGGACAGAGAGCGGATGTGGCCCCTCGAGCCCCGCCTTGTGGTTCTCTGAGCCTCTGAGAAGGAGCAGCGGCGCTGTGGGGGCGGAGTCGAAGGAGTGTGGGCGTCACCCTGAGTCCCCATGTGTTCACTGCTCTGAGTGGAGCTGGACGAGTCTCGCCGTTTGTGCTTCCCCAGATTACCGATAGCCAGGTACTCCGGGCCGTCATCCAGATCCGCTTCCACACAATCCCGGATCTCGGGCGGAGCGGGTGAGGCGGGCTCAGTGAAGGAGATCTGGGGGACTCCTGTGTCCCGGTTGCCTCTATGGAGCCATGGAGCTCCCCGAGTACTGCTGGACGGAGCGTCATCTTAAAGACAAACAAAGAGATGCACTGTGATACTGAGGAATGGTCACATTTCTACACTGCAGGCATTGCTCACTGCCCACCTTCCATCCCCAGTTTTCTCACCAAATAACGCACTGTTTTCTGTCCGAGACATTTTGTGTGTAAACAAGGCAAGCATTTAGTGTGGTAATGGAGCCACAGAGCGGCCTGTTGTTCTCTGAAACCTGCTGACCTGAGCTGCTCTTGGAGAGTGGGGTGTTGGGAAGCTCTGTAAGGCAGCTCTGGGACGTGGTGAGCCGCCGGGACTGCAAATTGTCCGCAGGCCTCCAACTTCCTGTGGCCCCGGGCAGCAAACACAAACTCTGACTCTTCAGCAAACCAAACGGAGACTCTTTCACATGAGAAAGCTTGAAAAACACAAGAGACAGAAGGAGTTTACATATCCGCATGTAGAAATGCACGGCTACATTGAAATAAGATGTAGTTATAATATCTACCAGCAGAGGCTAAAAGGGCTTTGCTAACGAGCCAAAACATGACCTTTTGAAAAACTGAATGTTATGTAACTAATTAGTTAACCAGCTAGACACATGTTGACAGTTTAACTTAAATTGAAGATGGGTGTATTAATGGTATCTACCAACAGAGGCTAAAAGGGCAATGCTAAATAGCCAAACAATGACCCTTTGAAAAACTGGATGTTATTTAACTAGCTAACTAGCTATTAATGTGTTGACATTTTAACTAACTTATATTGAAAATGGTGTAGTTATGTTATCTACCAACAGGGAGCTTAACAAGTTATGTTAACCAAACTAGATGTTATGTAGTTAGTTAGCTAGCTAACTAGCTAGACACATGTTGACAGTTTAACTTAAATTGAATTAAGATGGTGTAGTAATGATATATTCTGGCAGGGGCTAAATAATCTATGCTAACCAGCCAAACAATAACCTTTTGAAAAACTGCATGTAGCTAGTTAACTAGCTAGCTAGGTATAGTGTGTTTATGGTAACTACCAACAGGGGCTAAACAAGCTATGCTAACCAGTCAACCAAGACTTTTTGAAAACTGGATTTTAGCTAGTTAGTTAGCTAGCTAACTAGCTAGCTATAAACATGTTGACAGTTTAACTGTTAGATTGAAGTAAGATGGTGTAGTTATGGTGTCTTCCAGCAGGGGCTAAAAGGACGACGCCAACCAGTCAAATCATGACCTCTCGGAAAATTGGATGCTATTTAGTTAGCTATCTAACTAGCTATAAACATGTCGACAGTTTAACTAAGTTAAATAAGTAAGCTGGTGTAGTTAGGGTCTACCAAAAGCTAAAAGGGCTATGCTAACCAAACCATTACCCCTTAAAAACGGATATTAGTTAGCTAGTTACTTACTATTAAGATTTTGGCAGTTTAACTATGCTGAATTGAAGTTAGATGGCGCAGTTATGATATCTACCAGCAGAGGCTAAAAGCAAAAGCTTCTTTCTCAAAACTACTGTTTATTTTTTATTGGATACATTGATCTCATGTCAATGGTCTCATCTGATAGGAAAGAGGTTTATTGGAAAGATCAATGAAAGCCCTGTGAAGAGAGGAATTTGTGACAGACGTTCAGTAAGATAACAGGCAGGTGAATGAGATCATGGACAAACACAAACGCTGACCGTCATTATCCTACAAATACACATTTAATAGGTCAGGTCTGTGAAGGGAACTGTTTTCTGGTCTAAAGATTTCTGAGGGCCTCATTTTATTAAACCCTTGTCAGCTCACTACAAAGGCTTTCTATGGACTTTGGCCTCCATAAACCCAAACAAATTAATTCCTAATAATTGGAGGACATTCAAAACCTCTTTTAGTTTGCCCAAGCAGATTAATTTTACAATGCAGGGCCACTGCTGCACGAGTCAGGTGTGGCAATGCTTGGAGTGTATGCACAAAAACCAGACTACACACTGCAGCCCAACAAAATCACCTAATCTCAGAATTATAAATGAAAAGTCTTTTAAATTAAGTATAACATAATATCACTGAAGTATCAGTTAGCAAGCAAACAGCACTAACTGGTCACATGCCCTTTTAATGCAAGCCAATCTAGGGATTTGCAATATTAATCGTCCGTGTTAATAACGTAACTGTTGTTTTAACAATATGCAAGCTGACATTATCGAGTATGTCACTCACTTTACAAAAAACAAACAAAAACACATTGTGAGGGTCCAAAAGCATTGACTGCATGATGAAGCCTATTAGAACGCAGTCAGAATGTCCCTATAATTAAAGTAATGAAAGAAAAAACATCCCTGTATGGGTTTTTGTTTTTTATTTTTGTAAGATATGATATAGTTTAAGTAATATCACAGCAGCATCAGTGCCAATTTCCTAAACATTAGCACGTGAGCGCAATTGAAAATGTGATATTAACTTTACGCAACAGTTCAAGAAACAAGAAGTTAACATTTCAGACAGAAAATTGTCTGGGGTTTTTTTTTCTATTTGGCCAAATAAAACAGTTCCAAACAAAGCCGGAGCTGAACATTTGTGCGTCTCAGAGCAACACTGAAGCGTTTCGTTCCTGAATGAATCTGTTTTTGAACAAATCATTTTAGTCAGTGATTCAATGATCCATTCATAAATCACTTGCTTCGTTTCTAAACGAATCAGCTGTTTTGAACAAATCATTTGAATGAACGATTCAATTAATCACTCATTAAATCAGGGACTTGCCGCCACCTACTGGCAGTTTTAGTGTCATATTTATTTATCCATGACTGGACTAAACCAACCAAGGTAACCAGCTAAATCTTGGTAATGCGATTTTCAGTCATGCAAGAAATCTGTGCTTTTCAATGTTACGTTTAAATAATATTTCAAAGCAAGAACAAAATTTGCCAGTGATGGTATTAATATTGTGCTTCCATAGCTAAAATCCAGTGTTATTTTAGAATTATTTATATACTTTTTTTATAGTTCTGATTAATATTTTAAATTAGTTTAAATTTTTTTTATTTTTAGTTTTCATTTTAATTTGCTTATTTTTTATTTTTAATATTATGTGCTGCTGTTATTTTTGTTAGTTTTTTACTTTCATTTTTAGCTTTATTTCAGTTAGTAATTTTAGTACTTAAGTATTATAACTTCATTACAACTTTAGTATTTCTTTAAACTATTGAACTACTTCTTTAAGCCTGGGTCTCAGACATGAGTTTCCAACACTGTGTGGATCAATGCGTTCAATAAAGACCAGGAAAAACATATATCTTCTTTGTTAAGCTTAATCACATCCTCTAGAATCATACTGAAGAAAACCCCTCACTAATATGAATCAACTAAAGACTTCTTCTACTAGGAGGTCCAGGTTTATATATATATATATATATAAAAAATAAGCAAAATATATATTATATATATAAACCTGTACTTTTTTTTTTTAAATAATATAATATTAATTCACTTTCATGACTATGCGTCTTTATACACTTTAAGTCAAATTAAGTTTTACATTAAAGTACATTTTAAGTCATTGTTTTCATAAACATGTTTTAAAGTACACTTATTTTGATGCGTCGACTAACATACTTGTTTTTGAACAAATCATTTTAGTCAGTGATTCAATGATCCATTCATAAATCACTTGCTTCGTTTCTAAACGAATCAGCTGTTTTGAACAAATCATTTGAATGAACGATTCAATTAATCACTCATTAAATCAGGGACTTGCCGCCACCTACTGGCAGTTTTAGTGTCATATTTATTTATCCATGACTGGACTAAACCAACCAAGGTAACCAGCTAAATCTTGGTAATGCGATTTTCAGTCATGCAAGAAATCTGTGCTTTTCAATGTTACGTTTAAATAATATTTCAAAGCAAGAACAAAATTTGCCAGTGATGGTATTAATATTGTGCTTCCATAGCTAAAATCCAGTGTTATTTTAGAATTATTTATATACTTTTTTTATAGTTCTGATTAATATTTTAAATTAGTTTAAATTTTTTTTATTTTTAGTTTTCATTTTAATTTGCTTATTTTTTATTTTTAATATTATGTGCTGCTGTTATTTTTGTTAGTTTTTTACTTTCATTTTTAGCTTTATTTCAGTTAGTAATTTTAGTACTTAAGTATTATAACTTCATTACAACTTTAGTATTTCTTTAAACTATTGAACTACTTCTTTAAGCCTGGGTCTCAGACATGAGTTTCCAACACTGTGTGGATCAATGCGTTCAATAAAGACCAGGAAAAACATATATCTTCTTTGTTAAGCTTAATCACATCCTCTAGAATCATACTGAAGAAAACCCCTCACTAATATGAATCAACTAAAGACTTCTTCTACTAGGAGGTCCAGTTTCTCACCCTGCCGGTGTCTATGAGAGCCAGCAGCCGAGGGTTATTCTGCTCTACGGCCTCCAGACACTGGAACATGGCAGACACGTGTGGTTCGCTCAACAGGAAGGCCCCGTCTACAGAAGAGGACGGCCAACACTGTTATCACACACACACCACCAGGAACAACGTATACGTAAGCAAAGGTGCCAAAGGTTTGGAGGATGCTGAGTTACCACTGTAATATTTCTGTGTGTTTGTCTTATGCTGCAGCAGTGGTTTGAGCTGGGCAGATAAGATGTGACCTTGGAGGCTGTGTAAAAGCCAACGCTCGGCTTTATAACCCTCGCCGAAGCACTGAACGCCACTGCTCAACACCGGCTCCAGCTGACTGAACTGCAAAGAGAGAGAAAACAAAGTCAAAAATCTCACTGACGAGGTCAAAACAAGCTTCACGTGGGAAATATTCACTGGACTGACAAATACCTGTTCTACATGACGGGCGAGATGAGGACAGAGATACCGCACACACCACACGAAACGCCAGTAGTCTTTTTGTTTATAGTAGGTCTGCAAAACAAATTAACCAAATTAGATCTTGTACCAAAGTGTAATGATTCATACATTAAAAATGTGTTTGGTCACTTCTGTGCATGCAACCCAAAACAGTTATGAAGACATTAAAATAATCTTTAAAAAGCATTCAATCAAAGGGCAATAAATAATAAATAAATAATAAACAAAAAAAAACTAAAAATCTGAAACATTAAAATTATAAATCATATTATTTTTAGTAAATTTTACAATTAAAGTAAAATGATGGAGAAGCTCATCTAATTGAGCTGTAAAAAAAACTGTCAGAAGTAAAAATTAAACCAAAAAAAACTAAAAATTTTATTTTAATGTATTTCATTGGTAAAAATACATTAAAAACTATTTAAAAATTATTAATTAAAAACTGTTATCCAATCATAGCAGTGGGCGTTTACTTCCAAGTCTTCAATAGCTATGTTTCCATTAGGGATGCGCCGATCCGATATTCATATCGGGTATCGGCTCCGATAGTGCCATTTTTCTCGGATCGGGTATCGGTCAGAGAGGGCCGATCCAAATCCGAGAATTTTTTTTTTTCCGATTGTGCGAATTATTCTGTGTTACTTCTGAAGCCATACGATAGCTTAATGTGAGCTACATATGAATATTTAAGTCCTTACATTAAACTTCAGACAAACTCTTTTCTCCGCTGTGGCTGTCAGTCATTCGTTCAGCCTTTAAACCCTGGTCGCGTTCGGTTACAGCAGTCAGCTCGGTAAAGCTCTCTCCAAGATCATTCTGTGTTCCCATTATACTTGATTTGTAAATACATGTCTATGATTTTGCAAAAAGGACTTTATCTTCTTGCCGGAGTTTAATGTTGTTTTGTTACTTGCTACCGGGTGTCTGTGAGAACAAAACACGGGCGTAGAAAAGACTATACATAGTTTTTAACATGCACAGTAACTGAAATTTAAAACTGTTAAAAGAAAGGCTCAATAACTGTTGCACAGATATAATACACTACGCATCAATTTCTCTTCCCTTTGTGCTTTGCAGTTTTTAACACGAAGCGCTTACAATGTGCACATCCGGTGTGCAGAATGATGCGCTTGAAGCAACACGTACAGCGTCAGGCTGTGATGTCATCATTCTGCACATCGAATGCGCACATCGTAAGCGCTTCGTGCTCATAGACTGTATAAAAACAGTTCGTGCTGCACTGTGTTTGTTTTGTCCTATCGTATCTATCATATGTTGTTGCCTTATTAAAAAATATGCTATACATTTAAAAGAAATGTATTTTAATTTTATAGTGTATACTTATATATAAATACATTCATGAATGTTTTTAATGAATGGATTTTATAATAATACAAATAGTAATGTGTAACATTTTACCATATTTAGGATACATTTTTGTCATGGATTATAAATATACATAGGCCTATATTTTTTCAGATTTATTGTTTGTTTTATTTTTCTTTATAATGAAGTAGTCTGTATCTAGTAGATTGTGAAAGAATGATTATCAGTTCCACACACAAAGATATTTAAATTCTATATCGAACCCTAGGTATCGGAATCGGTATCGGAGGCGAAAAAGGCGGATCGGAGCATCCCTAGTTTCCATCACCCTATTTTAAAGCGCATTTTGAAGTATCGCATCAGAAACGAGTGAAAACGGCAAATTTCGAATAAAAATCCCTTAATTCGCAAAAAAAACGAATTTACGCTCGCTTGAGGTGGTTTTTGACTTGTGTGAAAAAGGGTTGCTGCGAATAATGGGAGATGGAAATGCATTTTGCAAATAATTCCTCCAAGCGCATCAAAAAAGTCATGTGACTTTGCGCTATGGGACGGCAAAACCTGACCTAAATTGGTTGCGGACCGATCTCATTCACAGCATCTGAAATGTTGTTATGGTCATTCGGAAATGCACGAGCAAAGTCGGTCATCAAAGTATTTCTGTATAACCGTCTCCCAGAATTGCGTTCCCAAACAGCAGCATCCACCTCCGAAAGCAATGACCGCATTCATTGTTTCGTCTGCTCGCTCTGAGGCGCAAGTAATTTATTATATATGAAAATTATTATATTCTCTTACTTTTCTTAGTGATTTATAGTGCCAGTTTATCAGGAAGTGGCAATTTTGTGCTCTTTGACTTGCAGTTTGTCTGAAGTTTAATGTAAGGACTTAAATATTCATATGTAGCACACATTAAGCTATCGTATGGCTTCGGAAGTAACACAGAATAATTCGCACAATCGGGGGAAAAGAATAAAAAAAAATCTCGGATTTGGATCAGCCCTCTCTGACCGATACCCGATCCGAGAAAAATGGCACTATCGGAGCCGATACCCGATATGAATATCGGATCGGCGCATCCCTAGCGTGCAGCCCTATTTTGCGCATAAGTTAAATTCGCAACTTTGGACGGAAACCCGGCTAATGCGGCTCGCCCATAAAAACCGAGCGTTTCTCAAGCCGGCCTCAAAACCAGGGTAGAAAATAGCCTATTACTTATTGATTTTGATGTTTTTGAATGTAAAATCACACAAACGTCATAAGTGGACCTCAGACAACAGTATAAAACAATAAAAAAAGCCAGTTGGTGATGCCTTTAAAGTTTTGGGATTAATCTATAAACTAATACAATACTTTCTTTGTTGGAAAGGCCACCGAGGCCATTTCTCATCTCCAATTAGATATAGAAAGTAAAACAAAGAAGTAACACAACTTTAAAACACTCTTCCTCGTCTGATTAGCCACTGAGCCTATTTGTGTCTAATAGTTCCTGGTAACTCAGGCTGTTGTTTTGGATATATTCCCGCCGGTACCACAGGATATTCTAGGTGCTTTCATGAAAACGCCGAGAGACTCTTATCTTGTTCCTCCACACCTGCTCGTGTTTCAGGCCGTGGCCCAGGATGTTGTTCATGTCCTTGTGCAGGCGCTGAAGACCCCCATAGCGGGACCACACGTTAGGGTTGTTGGTGAACAGCAGCCCTTCAACAGTCGTCTTCAGATTAGACAGAAGCTTCCACTGTTCCCATCTGAAAGAAAACATATGTCAGTTGCTCTTACAATATATTTAGAATACATAGTGTGCCACTTTGGGTAAAAAGTGTACTGAATGTGAACTTGTAGTGTACTTCAAATCTAGAGTATTAAAACACACACAAATATACAGTGTGTGTGTGTGTGTGTGTGTGTGTGTATATATATATATATATATAAAAAGTACAGGTTTATATATATATATATATAAAAAGTACAGGTTTATATATATATATATATATAAAAAATAAGCAAAATATATATTATATATATAAACCTGTACTTTTTTTTTTTAAATAATATAATATTAATTCACTTTCATGACTATGCGTCTTTATACACTTTAAGTCAAATTAAGTTTTACATTAAAGTACATTTTAAGTCATTGTTTTCATAAACATGTTTTAAAGTACACTTATTTTGATGCGTCGACTAACATACTAAAGCACATGTAAAGTACTTGATTATAATTTTAACTGTAGTCTGTTATTCAATATTACCCAAAAAGTTTATACATTTTAAATCAACTAAATAGTAACTTCATCGCTACAAATTAGAGCTGCACGATTATGACAAAAATCACAATTGTCGATTATTCCCTTGAAATTGTAACTGCAATTATTAATTACGATTATCACAATTTACAATGAATGATGTTTATATCATTGTTTGATGCAACTGCATGCCTTATTTTTATATGAAAATAAACAAGCTGAAAACACTCTAACTGAAAACCTTTGTGCTTTTCTATAGTATTAAGCCTCAAATGTCAAATATACATCGGATTGGTTTCTTCTTTAAATTATAAAAAAAGTAAAAATATGAATGGTATTATAATGTTATACTAAAACTAAACTTAAAACAATGGAAAAACCCTTAAGATAACATGTAGAAAGAAAAAAATTGAAGTTAGCGACATAATCTGGATTACACATATTAGGTTATGTAGTCTGACTACTTTTGACCTAACTCATATATAAAAAAGACTTGAATGGGATTATTGTGTATCATGCTATCAAAATCATGAAATGCATTAAACGTTGCATTACATGAGGGTTTCCCAAATTGAGGATTGTGCAAAAACAATAAGGTGTTGATGAAAAGCTAACATAAAAATGTCAAATCAAACTGACAAATAATGTAAAAAAAAAAAATTTTAATTAAAATTTGTCAATGTGACCAACACATCAGAGAAGCATGAGCATGCAAATATGTTGTTAAATTATTGAAATCTCAAAGGATTTTAACTAGGGCTGGGCGATATACTGTAGCTAAAAAATATATCAACGATATATGTTTCATATCGTTCAGTATCGATAATTATTGACATTTTTTTTATAACCTTTTTTAAAACAGAGCAATAGAAAAAAAAATTTAAATTGAACCACTGTATTTTTAATTTGCCCACTTTATTAAAACAAATAACAAATATATATATACAACACATATCTATGTCACGATGTGGGAAGATTTGCATAACGCCTCCCAAATGTTCACGCAAAGAAAGAAGGCGTAACTTTTAATCTCGCTGTAGTTTTGTTGTTGCCGGCGTCATGTCGTGAAGACACCGTGTGTTTCGTTGTGAAAGCGAAACTACTTTGTTTGATCTTCCAAAAGAGGACACAACTAGAAATCAGTGGTTAAGTTGTATTTACAACACTGTTCCAGAACAGTTCAACCCAAATATTCAGATGTGTGCAGCGCATTTTATGGAGGACTGTTTCCTGATCCTGGGAGAGTAACGTTAGACTACAATGCCGGCTGGTGTTTATGCATTGCTTAGCCTAATACAAAGAGCCAAATCGCTGATCACACAGATTGCATTTAAAAACATAAGAGACGCAGTGAAATGAAATAAACCTTCACAAATTTGCATCGCGTTTTCTAAACGTTAAAACTGTTTTAACTTTGCAATTAAAATGCAACGTCACTTACATCATCACCGCATCTCGCGCGCCACTGATGACGCTCCCTGACGCACTCCTAACATTCAAATGCAAATGTTTATTTTAAATTCGACTAATATTCATTCTTTATTCACAATCTCCTCATCACAGGCAGGCACAGCACTCATTTCAGCATGTTTGTGTGTGCTGTCTGCGTCACTCATAGCACGTGCCTATATCATGCGCTATATCGAACATTTTTTCTATCGATATCGAAGAAGATGTACCGTCGATAAATATCAATACCGTTTTATCGCCCAGGCCTAATTTTAACTAGATATTTTAGGTCAAAGGGGTTTGGCTCACCAAAAAAAGTTTACATGAAGAAACATTAACAAACATGAAAACATTGCATTACAAGTCTTCTAGGTTTGAAATACTTTTGTCCGGGCTTTCACTATTAATAATTAGTGACGGTCACTGCCTGGATATGATGAAGACATTGCATTCGACAGCTATGCATCGAACTTGTGTATTTATTAGTCTCATATATATTAGAAAAATGTAAAAGAAAAAGAAAAACTGGGGTATGAATAATTTTCTGCCACTGTGTGAATAGGATGCAATCTTATAGTCCATAAAAATAGCTGTAATCTGATTATGAACATTTTAAAACATAATATAATCTGATTACAAGTACTTAGTTTAGTGTAATCTGATTATGTAATCCAGATTACTACCGAACAATACTTAAATCGGGCATTACATTCCATTGAGCTCAAAACATGACATGAAGTTTACATTTAAATATACAGTTTTGAAGTATAATAAATACTAATGCTACTACTAGCATGCTAAAGTGTGCTTCTTTAAATGTGTCAGGCTTCAGAAGATCGCAAAACTTCGCCGTTATGAGTCATAATAACGCGAGTTTCTGTTGTGACGTTTTACGCGAGCAAATTAACGGCTTAATTCATTAATTAAAGCGCGTCCCAAGACTGGTGTGATCTGCTGTAAGTCTGTTGATCTGCGGATGAAAGCTGCTGCTGGAACAGACGACGAGGGAGAAGCTCATGAATATTCATTAAGCCACTGAACGCTTCCGTGAGCGCCGAGTCTCCTATTGGTTGATTCTCCTGCTTACATATTAACATCTAGAGTTCAGCCAATCGGATGATACGCTTTGACGGAAAAGCGTCCCATGACGTAATTAATATTCATTAGCGAAGTCTTTACCATAGTAGCATGTACAAATGCACTAGCCGGCTAGCTCCATATGAAAGCTGCAGTCGATAACCGTCTTAGCAAACAAGATGGTTAGTGTCTACATATCATTTAAATGTTCTTAAATAGATATGTACAAAAGTATGAGGTGCTAAAACTATGTGATAGAGCCGCAATAATCCCCCAAACTAAAGCTGAGGGTCTGGCTGTCAAACTCAGGACTGCTGTGTACGGGCGTGTTTTTCTTTACCTGCGCTCTCCATCTTCCGCCTCCACGGATATCTCCATCTCCAGCCCGCGTAACTGCTCGGCCCCGAGCTCAGGTCCGACTGAAACACAGAAACTCTCCTGACGGTCTGAAGGGGCTTCCACTGGGCGTCCCGCACCATAACAAGACAGACGAGCGTGAAGGCAGAGATAACGCGCGCTCTGACCGGAAGCAAGTTCCGCAAATAGCGGAAGCAGGTTATTTTCTAAAATAAAAGTGAAACGCAGGATCTTATCATATCAAAGCATAAGCACTATAGCCTATTGGTCATTCCTACATTACAGTGCAGTACGTATTAATGCCCCAATAATATATGTTTTGATAAATTAGATGAAATATTAAGTAATTTATAAAGACTGAAAATCACCAACTACTGTACCGCGGTTATTTTATATATTTCATTTATTTTGCATTTATTTCATTTATTTTAATTATTCATTATTTCATGTATTTAAATATTTATGAACAACTTAGTCTTTTTATTTGGTATATTTAATTTATGTTGCATCTTTTTATATTTTATTTATTATATTACTATAATTATAATATAT